AAAGGGACCTGCAGTGGCGAGCGGGTCCCCGTGCGCTCCCCTGCCTGCAGGGAGGGACGTTCAGCACCAGGGGGGCTTCAGATGGCCAGGAGGGGCGTGCGCTGCTTGGTCACGCAGGGAGGCAGGTCCCAGCTCAGGCCTGTACCGTGGGGCAGGTGAAGAGAGGGCAGCAGGACGCGGGTGAACCAGTGCCTGTGGGGAGAGAAGCGAGGCCTCAACAAAAAGCTGAAGTCTCGGCGCTTCTTAGCGCTGCAGAGCTGAGCCAGGGCTGTCAGCACGAGCGAGGGATGTGAGCCCAAGTCCCTGAGCTGCTGTGATAGCCGAGCTCCTCAGCCACGGCTCTTTTCGCAAAGGGGTGTTGGGTAGGCCAGAGCTTGCCACCGGGCAGGGCTGAGGAGCCACAAGGCAGCTGATGCCTGGGTCCTCCATGCCTTGCAAAGCCCGGAGCAGTGCGCAGCATGGGACACTCGCTGTCCTGCTCTGCCCCAGGAGAGCCCCAGTGTCCCAGCACCCCCACATGCTGCTGAGCCACCACCTTCCCAGTCAGGAGCTTCCCCAGGGCTTTACCTTGGCACATCCACGCCCAGGAACACCTTCCAGTTATCCCAGCCGCCATAACTGTAGGGGTTCCTGAAGACCTGCAGGCCAGGGAGAGGTGCATCATGTCTGGCTCTGCCCCGGCCAGCCATCCTGCTCTGCAGGCTGCGCTCACCTTGCCTTTCTTCTGCAGCCTCTGCCTCTCCTTCTTGTTGATGTGCCTCTCAATGCTGGTTTCCCCACGGGTGATGAGGGTGGCGTGCCACAGCGTGAGAGCACCCAGAGCCAACGCAACCGAGCTGGGGACAGCAAGGGACAGCAGGTTGCACATAGGCCTTCCTTCCCTGGTGCTGCAGCTGAGGGGGGCCTGAAGCTGCCTCTGCACACCCATGGCTGCATAGGTGGGTCACCTCATCTAATCTCCCGTGACAGCCAAAAATCTCTCCTCCTCTGTAGCGTAAGAGCTGGTAGGGCAGGGACGTTTGTGCTAGAGCAAGTCAGCACAGTCGCGGGGAGGCAGACAACATCCCAGGGCAGGGGGCTGCCTGCTGCTTCCCCCGGCACCCTCCCTCCCAGCCCTGGGCCTCCTTACCTGCACAGGACCCAGAGGTAGACCACGCTCTTGTGGAAAGCTCGCTGGTGGAAGGAGAAGGTGGGAGGCGGGGTCTGGTAGTACGTCTGAAAAAGGACCAGAGTAGGGGGGGATTACCCAAACTGCTTTATAGCTTAGAGCCAGACAGGGGGACTGCTGCACCCCTCCCTGATGCAGAGCTCAGACAGCTAGAAAGGACTGTGGCTGGAACCAGTGCAACAGCCGGGGTAATGGGGAGGCAGCCTGAGACAGCCATGAGACAGATGGACACCTGAGAGCTGGCACACGGGTGAGAAGCGGTGGGCTGGAGGTAAGGGGGCAGGGAGCAGCCATGGGACTGGTTAGGACACTGCATCACACCGCAGCTGATGCTCAGGGTGAGATACGTATGCACTGCTGCAGCTTCCCCAGGAGAGCAGCGCATGCCAAGCAGCTGCCACCAGCCAAAGCCCCTGGACGCTGGGTGCACAGGGAAGCAGACCCCTAGCTGCTGGAGGCAGTGCCCATAGCAGAGCTGCCAGGCCAGCCCCAGCTCTCCAATACATGAGACGAGCAGAGGGGCTGGTTCTGGCTGCGGGGTGCTCCTTGGGAGCAGGGCCCCAAGCAGGACCCAGCCTGTGGAGCAGCTCTGCTACACACTGCCTGGAGCAGCTGGGGGGCAGGGATGTCCCACCTGGTTGGCAGCCACCTCCAGTCTCTCCTTCTCAAGCAGTTTCATTCTCTAGGGGGACGGAAAACAGGGCACCAGTTACATGTTTCAGAGGAGGGGGCCCTTCCCCTTCACACCCCCCGCCCCCACAGGACCAGGGTAGCTGGGGGGCTCACAGGAGAAAGGAAAGGGGAAGCAAAGTCATTACAAGGCCAGGCCTGGCCAGCCTTGTTCTGCAAGCTCAGGCTGGGGAGGCCAGGGGCCAGGGCCTGCCTGCTCACCTCAATGGCTGCGTAGGCATCCCGGAACATCTCCCAGCCACTGATGCTGCAGTAGATACAGCCCATGGTCATGAACAAGCAGAAGGAGAAGAAGTAGCGGTGGTTGTAGTGTCCCACACAGTTGTTTAGCCAGGCTGCCTCTGGGGTTAAAGGTGTGTAACCGTGATGGGCCATGGGTCCAAACCCACCCCAGGGACCAGGGTGGTTCTTCTGGGCCCCCGGCACCCTTCCCCGTGCTGGCTGACTCAGGAGTGGGGCAGGGAGAGAAGGGGGAAGCAGGGCCGGCTCCCCCCAGGGAGAGTGCCGCAGGTTAGTACTGCAGAAGGATACGGCAGTGGTGGTCCATCTTCAGCACGCACCTGGGAGGGAGGAGAGCAGTGCCAGTGTCAGTGCAAGCACCGTGTTTGGGAGGGGGCAGGCAGCCCCCGAGCCCTGCGGGCTGTACAAGAGATGAGGCAAGAAGCCAGCAGAGGGGAAAGGGCCTGGGTCTCGCCATGTGACAGGGGGCAAGGAGAGGGGTGCCGGAGGCTGCCCCAAGTGCTGCGCTGGGCAGAGGGAGGGAGCCCTACCTGTTGCAGATGCTGCAGTGGTGTGTGCGAGCTGGCTTGGGGGCAATGCATTTCCTGCAGATGGAGACGCCAGTGAGATCGTCCTTGGCCTGCGCACAGGTCAGAAGAGATTTGTGCACCCAAGCCCTGCACCTCTCCCCTCCTCACCTCTCCTGTGACCCCCCTCCGCTCCTCTACCCACGCTGCCCACCCTAGCTGCCCCAATCTGGAGGCCAGCAGGCTGGTTTAACTGTTCCCAGTGATCATCCATAGCTGGTCCCCAGTGGCCAGCTGCTGGTCAGTGCCTCACCTGTGGTGGGTGCCCGGGTGAGGTGGTGATGGCCATATAGTAGTGGAAGATGATCATGATGAGGTTCCAGTGTCCGTAGGCGAGGTGCCAGCAGATCCAGGCAGGTGTGTAGGTCTGGAGGATGAGGGGCAGCAGGCAGATGTACACGATGGCCACAATGGAGCTCGTCAGCCCGATCACCAGTGCCACAAACACCTATGGGAAAGGGGCCTGGGTCACCGGAGTGGGCAGCGTCTGCCCCTCGCTGCCTGGGGAGAGGCACAGGCAGCATACGGCCACAGGAAATCAGTCTGAAACACACACTGAGGTCCCCACTCCCTTCCTGCCTAGAGCACAGGCAGCCCTGAGACTCAGTTGCCCCAGCAGCATGCTCACCCCAGAGTCAGGTACCCCCCTGCCCGGTGAGGGTACTCACCACACCGAACCATCGGGTGACGTGGTCCACCAGCCAGTAGACAGGCTCGAAGAGGGAGTCGAGCACCACGTCGCTGTTGGTGAAGGAGTTGTAGAGCAGGGAACGGAGGCAGAGGTGCCCGTAGTGCCACAGCTGCTCCGTCTGTCGCACCAGCTTAAACCGCCGCCGTCGGCCCAGCCGCAGGCACTTGAGGAGCAGGCGCATCACCGCCGCAAACATCCGCTGCCGGCTCCTCATCCCTGCCATACCACGCCTGGAGGGAGAGGAGCTCAGTGTGGGCAGGCCACCCTGCTGCCTGGCTGTCCCTCAGGAAGGGTCTCCCCTCCTGGACGTGCTGATGCCGGTTGTGCAGCTCCCTGCGCCGACTCTGCCAGACACCTGCCTGCACAGCAGGGCAGGGGCCTCTCCTTCACCCTGCACAAGGATGCGGAGCAGGGGGAGCTGAGCCCAGACTCTTGGAGGCGGAGGGGCCACTGTCATTGAGATGGCTCTCTATGTGGAGCAGGGGGCACAGGCCCCTTGGTGTCTGGGCTCAGATGCTCTCTGGACCCATCTCGTCTTTCCCAGCGGGGAGGGGGCCGGGGGAGCGACACGGAGAGTCTGACTCAGAGGAAACCAGAGAAGGTACGAGCATCCAGGATGCTGGGCCAGTTCCAGGGACAATCCCAGACCCAGCTCTTCCCGACAGGTTTGGCAACAGGGGAACCAGCACAAGACATATGTGGAGGAGCTGGGCCAGGATTACTCCTGCTCCCCTAGTTCCTCTCATTCCCAAAAAGCAGAGCCTGGATGCTACCTCAACCTCTGGACCAAGCTGCAGATGCCACCCTGCAGCTTTCCCAACCTCACAGCCCCACTCTGAGAGTCCCAACACTTCCTCTTTCCCCTCACCTGAATCCACCCTGGATAACACCATGCACCAGCAGAGGAGCAGCCCAGGGGCAGCCCCAGGCCAAGACGACGCTGTGCGGCGCTCCTCTGCCTGCTGAGCCCCTCGTCCCACCCGAGGGCTGTGCTGGGACCGAGGAGGAACCCGAGCCGACCCAGCAGCTGGGAAAACGATCTGCAGGGCTGGGGCCCCCAGGCCTCCGTGCAGACAGTGCCAATCAATATTAAGCAACGAGGCTGCCCCGGGGTCCTGCCAAGGCACGTTCTGAGCCTGGGCCAAGCACTCGCCTCGGCACAGAGCCAGGCAGTGGCGTCACACCGCAGAGTCCCTCCAGTGGGGACCGGCTCCCGTTACCCACTGCACAGCCCCTGGGCAGCAGCAGGGAGGGTAAGGGCAGGAGCTGCAGCATCCAGATGGGCTGGGCTGTCCGACAGAGCCAAGGGCTCACCTCTGCCCTGCCAGATGAGCGTGGGGCTGACACCAAGGCTGGGAGCAGCTGGACACAAGGACACAGACCCATCCCAGGTCACAGGTATGGCTTCTGCCCACGTTTCCTGTGCCCTGGTAAGGGGGAGGTGGGATATACAAACCCCAGTGCCACTCCCCCACATTTCCCCTTCGCTCTGCCAAGAGTCTTCCTCTGAAATGTATCAGGAATGAAGCAAAGTGACAACTTCCTGCTGTGCAGCCTTTGGGTGGTACCCATCCCCATGTTGTCAGTGTGGTAAGAAACAAAACACTCCAGCCAGTAGCAGGTCTTGGGGTCCCCTCCAAACACACAGCACCTCCCCACCCCGCTGGCTCCCTCCTCCCTGAGGCTGCCAGCTCTGATCAAAGAGGTTTCCTCGCCTATGACAGCTGGTGGCTGCTGAGCAGGAGCTTGCTCTGTGGGCAGACTGCCCATGCTGCTGGGAACAGGGCAGGACCCCCTCTGTCCCCAGGGCACCTGCCTACAGACAGTGGCACAGCCACAGGGACAAGGCTCCAGCAGAGGCATGCACCCTGCCTGGCCCAGTCAGGCACTGGGGCTCCAGCACTCCCCCCGCCCACGGCCCTCCCCACATCCCAGTGGGGCACTGAGCCCACGGGGATGGCACAGGACAGCAACCACCAGCACAGCAAGACCACAGGCAACACCACAGCAGGGTGGAACCTTAGATTTGGCCCTACCCCGGCCACAGCCAGGGCCCAGC